TAAAGGTTTTTCTACAGATTACTGACCATTACTGACAACCCTGATTCAACGATTTCAATTTTTTCCGGTGGAGTTAACTCTTCCTGTTTACGATCCATGAATGCATTGTTTGAATACTTTTAAGCTTTTTCACTTCAAAGTTGTTTCTGAAATCAAGTTAATTTCTTAAATCAAGTTCATCCCTGGACTGTATTTCTGTAAAATTTAGCTACGATTTCTGCTGACTTTTCGTTTTCTAAAAACAGCTTTACCCAATACACAAACAATGATGTATTACTGGCCATCCCATTTCATTTCAGAAGATTCCTCGCAGATTCAAGTTCAAGTAATTAGCCATTAACTGGTTTAATTGTTTCTCTTCAACTTGATTCACTCATAAAATTAAAGTGAAGCATTAGAAACATTGTTTCGAAACGTTCATGAGTTACATCCACTTCTGGCAAACTGTATTAATATCCATGAACATCGTTAGCTATCAGTAAGGTGAGGGAAAGAACAAAACTGCTTTCACTGTCGGCTTTGAGATTAGTAACAGTCCAATATAACTAATTTATACTGTTGATATTAAAAGTATTTCCACTTACTGCCTAGCCTCCTACGCAGGCGTTTATAGGGAAGCTCGTATTTCGTGAATGACGAGCTCCATCGCCTGCGTAGAAGGCTACTAACTGCCAAGATAGTCAGCATTTAGTCTGGTCAGCATTGACGTTTAATAAAATGACTGCACTATCCTTCAGGTAACACGGCTTTATCTCATGAGTATCTTAAAAATGATTTCTGCCTAAAGCAGATTAATTTTCCATTGTTGGTAAACGGGTTTCAGTTTGAATCGAAAACATTTAAAGAATCCTACGGATGAAGAAGCCAAATTTTAATTTTCTAGTTTTCACAAAGTTTTGATGATAGATTTTGTTTTGTTTTTTGTCGACATTTTGAAATACAGCCTCAACTAATTGACAAATTGCTCGGAAAAAACATATAACATTGAACTAAGCTATGATTCAAGTGCAAACAACAAAACTGAATAAATTCAAACAGTTCATTGGGTTCCCTGTCGTGACTTTGGTCGCGAGACGTTCTCAAGTGTCTGAAGTGTTACTATCAAATGGTCGAAAGTCCAATATCACCGTTTGCTCAGTGTTAAGGGTACTCCGGATTGATTGCAAGTAAACTACTCTTTATAAAAATGGCTACTCTATCTTGCGGATTAACCGCTTAACAGCTTATTTAATAAAGTGATTTCATGTGTTTTTTTTATTATGCAGGAAGAACTTAAACTACAGTGATTACTTAGCGATAATTTTGTCAACGGTATAAAAACACTATTTTAATAAAGCAATGGTAGCACGTTCCAGTCAAACAACAACATACAGAATAAATTTTTCTCTGTCTGCTAAAACATATTCAGTTACAAGCTGTTTGTATACAACTGTTCGTTAACATAAGGGTTACGGATCACAACTTAAGTATATCAAAGCATACCGTCTTAAACATAGAAGGGAAGCGTAATTTTAAATTAGTTACCGTTGAGTTAACTCTTCCTGTTTACGTTCCATGACGTAGTTTAGATACTTCTTAGCTATTTGACTTCAACGTCATTTTGTTAAATTAAGGCTAACTTACCCTAAATATTTTTTTCAGATTTCCCCTGTTTTGTATTTTCGAAAACAGCTTAGTGAAGTCAAATAACGCTGTATCCACTGACAAAAAATTCAACAAGTTCAAAACCAACTGGCTATTGAATGCTTCATGGTTCTCTTAAAATTACCGAATATAATCATGCAAAATAAATCATTGTTTCGTAAGATTACCTTCTTTACTTTGTGTTTAGGTTTTTTCGTTGTCCCCTTTTTAAAACGAAACACATAATGTAGTGTTGCTGAAGGTCCTGAAGAAAACTGTGATAGAGTAACAGGGTACGCAATTTAGGTCCAAACAAATTGCTATTGCTATATTCCTTTTATGTCGTTTTGCAATAGTGTTACTTCCAGATTCGGGAAATCATGTTAACGAAATCCAAATCATATCGATATATCAACCTTGGAGGCTTAACGTTGAAGTAGCGAGCCATTCAACACTGATTTAATGGATTTACCATAAAAACGGGAAGCAGACGAATTTACTTTTCCAGTTTTTTATAAAGTTTTGATGATGGATTTTGATTCTTTGTTTCTCAATACATTTCATAAAACAGCCTCACCCAATTAACAAATTGCTCGGCCAAAAAAATATAACATTGAAATAAGCAATGATTCAAGCGCAAACAACACAACTGATCAATAAAACAGTTCATTGGGTTCCCTGTCGTGACTTTTGCCACAAGATGGACTTATGGACCCTCAGCGGCGCACGGAAACGGAAGTACCCTGGTTGACTGTTCTCAAGTGTCTGAAGTGTTACTATAAAGTAGCCGAAAGTCCAATATCCCTGATTACACTCGGTGTTAAGAGTAATACAAATTGATTGCAAGTTAACTACTCTTTAAGCTTTGTTATACATTTCATACCCCCGCAGCAGTTATTACTGTCCGCAAGAATTTGCCCTAAAGTTAATACTTAGCAATAATTTTGTCAAGTCCAAAAACACTATAAAGCAATGGTATCGAGATCCAGTCCTTGACGGAATGGATTTTTCTCTGTCTGCTTAAACGTATTCAGTTATAAGCTGGCTGTATACAACTGTTCGTTAACATAAGGATCACAATTTTTAAGTAGGGAAGTGTAATTTTAAATTACTTATGGTCGAGTTAACCCTTTCACTGCCAAATGTGGCCAAAGGCAAATTTCGACCGAATTTCCAAATTTCTTTTTCTAACATTTTGACAAACAAATAGCATCATGTGAAAGTACAGGCAGAGAGCTTTCATTTGAATGGTCACATCATAGGATTTCGTCAAAAAACTCAAAAGTTAGAGTTACCTACCAAACTACTCTACTCTTACTCTACCAAACACTCTGGCAGTGAAAGGGTTAACTCTTCCTGTTTACGTTCCATAACGTAGTTTAGATACTTCTTCGCTATTTGACTTTAATATCGTTTATTAAATTAAGTCAAACTTACCCTAAGCATTTTTATTTTAGATTTCCCCTGTTTCGTATTTTCTAAAACAGCTCAAGTCATTACGTCAATTCTAGTTTACTAGAACCGTGTCCACAACGTACAGCATGTTTCTGCATGCTAAATCAATTTTGAAACATAAGTTATACGTCAAGTAAATCATATTACTTTTTAGTGTAACAAATCTTCTTCATAAAGGTTTTTCTACAGATCCCTCAATTCAACGATTTCTTTCTAGTATTATAAACGCAAAGTTTCATCAATTTCTCAGTTATCTCTGAGTTAACTCTTCATGTTTATGATCTAATGCATTGTTTGAATACTTTTGAGCTATTTCACTTCAAAGTTATTTATGAAATCAAGTTAATCTCTGGACTGTATTTCAGTAACATTTCTGCTGTTTTTTTCGTTTTATAAAAACAGCATTACCCAATACATTATGAGACGATTTTGAAATATCACGAGGGGTATTTATGCCAAATATCACGTACAAATCATGCTATTATTTGTTTATACTACTACCCGTAAAGGGTTTGTAATTTTCACATGTAGTTATTTCAAATTAAAATTAAAAGCTGAGATACCACTGTTCTCAAGCCAATCAAATTGCAGAAATTTCTCATGTAGTAGTATAAACATTGAAAGCTTTTTTAAAAAAAGTAATAAGTTAGATGGGAAGCAACGAAACTGTTTTCACTCAAGTGTCGGCTTTCAGATCAGTAACAGTCCAATATATCTAATTTATACTGTTGATACTAAAAATATTTCCACTAACCGATCTATCCTTCGGGTAACACAGCTTTATCTCATGAGTATCTTAAAAAATGATTTCTGCCTAAAGCAGATTCATTTTCGATTGTTGGTAAACGGGTTTCAGGTTTAAAACGAAAACATTTAAGGAATCCTACTGATGAAGCGGCCAAATTTAAATTTTCTAGTTTTTTCAAAGTTTTGATGTTTTTGTTCCCTGTTTATGTTCCATGACGTAGTTTAGATACTTCTTAGCTATTTGACTTCAATGTCATTTTGTTAAATTAAGGCTAACTTACCCTAAATATTTTTTTCAGATTTCCCCTGTTTTGTATTTTCGAAAACAGCTTAGTGAAGTCAAATAACGCTGTATCCACTGCCAAAAAATTCAACAAGTTCAGAACCAACTGGCTATTGAATGCTTCATGGTTCTCTTCCGAATATAATCATGCAAAATGAATCATTGTTTTGTCAGATTACTACAACTGGAAACCTTCTTTACTTTGTGTTTAGGTTTTGTTGTTGTCCCTTTTTTAAAACAGCTTAATATGAAACACATAATGTAGTGTTGCTGAAGAAAACTGTGATAGAGTAACAAGGTACACAGTTTAGGTCCAAAAAAATTGCTATTGAATGGTTCATGGTTCTCTTACGCATGATACACAACGTAATAGACGAAGTACTCTTTGTTTTGAAAAATTCATTGCTGTATTCCTTTTATGTCTTTTTGCAATAGTGTTACTTCCAGATTCGGTAAATCATGTTAACGAAATTCAAATCATATCGATATACCAACCTTGGAGGCTTAACGTTGAATTAGCGAGCCATTCAACACTGATTTAACGGATTTACTATAAAAACGGAAAACGGTAATGGGGAGCGGGGAACCGGAATACTAATGGCAACAAAACAGAGAATTGGACATGAAGTTACAAATAGGGCTACAGTTCAAGTTTGGTTTTGTTACCATTTTTCATTTTCCCGTTCCCCGTGCTCTTGCCCCGCACCCCGTTCCCTGCTCCTAATTCCCAGTACCCCGTTCCCTGTTCCCTAACTTTCTATACAATCATTATATACTAATCAGTTTTCAGAATACTCTTAGTAAATGAATGTGGTCAATTTCATTGTAATCGGAGTTCCAGGCTTTGATCTATTCAGTTCCATCCGATCAAGCCATCAAATTTTGTTGTTGTTTAATCACACACCGCCCGAGGATTGAAGTCCTGAACAACAAATAGAAAGGTCAGCTGCCAAGATCGACATCTAGTTATCTCTGCTCTTGCCATGAGGTGCTTCCCATGATTAAACCAGTAGAATGTCTTGGCTTTACCAGAATTCATCTTGTCGTAAGTGTCTTGACCACGGGTGAACTCGCTGCCAGTTTTGTCTTGGATATTGATTTTCCTTAAACTTGACAAAGCAAACTCAATGACTCTAACATTCGATGCAGGTGGTTCTACTTCGGGGCTTAGGATTCCGTTCTGGTAGAGAATAATGTACCCACCGGTTGAAAACTCCGAGGAGCCTGGCAGACGTGCGATCTCCAGCCAGCAATTTGATCGAGATTGGACGTCGTGGGTGAAAGTGACGGAACGTGATGCTCTCCGTCCAACTTTACCCGAAACAATCTTCATCGGAAAATCTGTTTCGTTAATGAACTCGATAAATGTGACACCTACCAGCACTCTTGTTAAAGCCAGAACAGCTTTGATGCCCTGAGGAAATACAGAATTCTCAGGAGAGTGAGGGACGTGGTCTTCCAGTTTTAACTTAACGTACTGGCTAGACACTTTACTCGCTGCAGATTCAACTGTCGCAGAATCAGGTAATTGCGGTAAATCTAAGCTACGTCCGACTGCTTCTACGAGCCTCTTTCCCGATGTGTGTCGGCTTAAAACAACGATCTTCGTCAGTTTTCCTCCTTCATAGGGAAGCCTCCCGAGAAATGTCAGATATTTTTCATCAGACAGGAATGCGAGCTTTTCTCTCGCTTTCTCTTCTTGGCGTTTGATAATACGATAGACCGCATCTTCGTCTTCTTTTCTCCCAAGATCGGCAAATCGTCCGTTCGCAGCCAACAGAAGTGCCATGAAACAGACGTATGCCTCGCTGTAAGTCACCACAGCTGTCACAAAATCTGCCACTTCAGGATCTTTTGTCAGGGGGGATTCTTTTTCATATTCGAATGGCAAAGGTGACTCAAGTCTGTTGGAAAGCTCAATGCAACTTATGATTGAAGTTGACTAGTTCCTTGTGAACGACTTTTGCGAGTTGATCTACCACACTTGGCTGTGCATGTTTTGGCTTGCCATAACTGAGAATCGTACCAATAATACCACAGACTGTAGTAAGTATCGGCCCGTAAGGTCCACCAAAGACGGACCCAATTGAAGAGACGATGTTTAAAACTCCCACAGCGGTATCCACGGGATCGTCACTTTTGAATTTCTCGATACTATTCACCGTCTCTTGGACAACTTTAAGAACTTTACCCACTGTTTCAGGGGTTAGTTCCTTCAACTTTTCCTCGCTGTCGTTGTTTTGTTTTGTAACCCAAGTTTCTATTTGACTTAGCTTGCTTTCGATATCTAGTTTTAGATTGGCATTCGAGTCCGCAAAATCTGACATACACCTACGCAATGAGTCCAGACATTCTTCAATATCGGGGCATGGAAGAGATGGACTTTGACAATGACTTTGGTAACGTGCAGCCATTATTTAGGCCTAGAAGTGAGAAAGGAGAAAGAAAAAAAAAATCCCAAGTCTAAGTAAATCGTCAGGAGTAATATAACGGGAGAGGAAAGGAACTGAAAATTCATTACCGTCGGGTACAGTGAGGGGGGCATTGGGGGACCGTCCACACCGCAACATGCCGTAGAAAAAAAAAACTGCGATTAATCTAATCCAAATCTCCATATAATTGGGGATGGCTCTCTCGGAGCTGGTTAGTGATAAGTAGGGAGCGAGTTTTTCCTATTTTTGCGAACTCTATTTTTCGTCATGCAGATAGAAAAATGCATACAACGCCCATGACAGTCGTGAAAAAAACAAACCCATGCAGATTTCGCCTGTTATCCATTTGTTTTGAAGTCTTTTTTGTATAAAAAGACCACACAGATCAGGCTTCGCTCCTGCTATAAAAAAGCAGTGAGATATTAAAATCAATTCACCCAACGTTCCTAGGAGGGCGGAACTTGTTTTGGCTTGTTTTATTGGATCGTTGTGGATCTTTTGTTTATTAGTTTTGATCAGTCGTTGTTTATCACTTTGGGTCGTTGTGGATCGTTTAGGTCGTTTGGCTCGTTTTGACCGGTTCCTCGTTTCAGTAACTACGGCCAAATGATAAACCACAACACCGCAAAGTGTTCGCAAGTTATTTCGTTTCACCGTAGGTTTAAAACCAGAAACACCGCACACCCCTGGTGCACACCGCACGGTTTGACACCGCAACACCGCAAGATGGGATTTTATTCTCCTTATATTAGTGAGAAAGCCGGAACTAAGAGAGAGCACGCAAAAGACGTAAGTTGTTCATCCGATATCCGTTACTCAGTGTATTGACATCAGCTCTCAATGCGAGCAACATAACCATTTGGGGCAGCGCAAAAATGCATCTAAACTATCTTCTTAAAATGATAGCGTAATTAAATATAGTTTGGGTTAAAATGCACTACACAGCTCTGTTTCGCATAGTAGCCAATTTAACCCTGGACCTCTTCAAGCAGAACAATTTTTTGGTTATAATTTAAGGTCACAAACAGCACGGGGGGTGACAGCTCTAACAAGGGCTGTTTCGGGAGAAAAGCAAATTTATTCCGGGAATCTGGAGATTTTGCCGGGAATCGGGAAACCTAGGAAATTTTTCGGGAAATATGAGATATTTTCGGGACATTGAGCAAAGATTTGATATTACATGTTATCAAAAAATATATATACAGTGATATGCACCCAGTGTATGCGCTGTATTCTGTGTATTTTGATACTTGAAAACGGCTGAACTCCCCATGATATGAAAAGACCAATCAGCAACGTTTCCAACTAAAATAGCATGAAGTTGGAGTGCGATTGACCACGTGCAATCCCCAGCGGATTGACACAAGAACTGTACCGGTGCAAGCTGTGGCCACACTACAGACTTTTTACCTAGTGAAATTCGACTCGTTGACAGTTTACCTAGGGAAACTTGATTTTTAAAGTGTGACCGATTTTTCCCTAGGTAACTAGGGCACGATTCGTCTACGTCTTCGCCTTTCTTCACCTTGCACGTTGAATTAGCGTAAGAAATAACAGTGAGATAAAAGAAAAAACGTCTCTTTGATCAGTTAGATCCCTGCGCATCTTGCGTTCCTAAATTTACGCTCCATAAAATTCAACTGGCGTGAAAACCTTGGTAGCCGATATCAGTAGTGTGACCTTCCCAGAATTTTTCACCTAGGTAAAACAAAACCCGAGATGAATTTACCTCCGGAGACTTTTGATGAATTTGCCCTAGATCAATCGCTTTTACCTAGGTAAAATTCTGTAGTGTGACCACAGCTATTATCAGTTCCCACCAGATCCCATCATTCATTAGTTCAGGGGTATTTGTACGCTGCACGTTAACGAGTTTTAAGAGCACATTCCACTGATTGCATACTGGAAAACTTGAAAGAAGTACGTAAGATGTATGTAAGAAAAAAACGAAACTCATTTAACCTTGTTAAACACAAATGAGGCCATAAAAAGTAGTATGTCTGTGAAGACTCTTTAATCATCCTGATCTTGTCGGGGTCCTTCTGATTTTGCTCGAAAATCCCGAATCCCGATCAATATGCGTTCGAGATAGGAAAATTTCAGATTTCGACAGTTGTTCTGAAATTTTCAAATGAATTCTTATGATACTCATACAATGACACCACACAGAGTATACTTAGCTGAAAGTGATATCCAGAGCAATTTCAAAAACCGCAAAACTTGTATAAAATAAAATTGACTACTTCTACGCGAAGTCACGCTAATAAAAATAAGCATAAAAAGGACACTTGATTTAGAGAACATTTTGGACAGAATTTGTCCTCTCAGAACACTAGAAATGGCGTTTCAGAGCACCAAGATTTCAAAATTTTCTGGGGGAGCATGCCCCCCGAACCCCCTAGTGGTTGTCCCCTTCACTGCTTGCCTGATTCATCGGTGATTAAAAAGCAAAAAAACACGATTTTATATACTTAAAAAGTTTGACAGTCTTTCTGTGTTAACATGATACCCTCTACACGAAAAAATAACTAAGGTTAGATAATTATCAAGTTACATAATTAACAAGAAGCTGCAAAAAATCTCTAATCAAAATTTTAATTTTAATTGTTAAAACAATTTTGGGAAGTTAAACATTATTTTATGGGGAATGCCACCGAAAAATTCGGGAGAGTCGACGAAATTTCCGGGAGGACTTAAAGTTATTCATAGGACTGCCCAAACAGCCTTTGTTAGAGTTGTCACCCCCCGTAACAGCTGAGTTTTATGGGATACTTGTGATAAATCATGGATAAAATACAATCGTGAAACGAAGTTGAAAAATCAGAGCCCTTTTATGCATGTAAACACGTATATAAAGGTAGGCATTCTAATCTATTCTGCTTGGGAAAGCGGATTCAGCTGAATTAGCTTGAATTTGTCCCCACTTTATAAAAGATCGGAAGACAATTAAACTCGCATTCATTTGTTCTGCGCGTAATTTAACACTTAAACTTCATTGCAGTTCTGCACGACATTATTTACTTACCCTTGTGTTGGCTATTTACGGCCACAATCTCAAGTCCGAAACTTTCGAATCGACAAGGAAAAATGACACCGATTGTGCGCTGGATGAAAATTAAAAAGACCATCTTCAGCGTGATGTGCATGTGACTTGCGATCCAATACTGATCAAGTGTTCCAGGAAAACACCTCGAAAACACCCTTCTATGCTACGCCCAATTAAAGCAAATCACACAAGGGAAAGAAAAACAGTAACAGAAAATGAAACACGTTTATCTTGAAGACCTAGCTTGGTCATCGCATGAAGATAGCTACCACTGTACTGTATTCATGTCTAAACTGGGCGTTGATCATGGGAGTATCCTGTGTACAGACCCCCCTCCCCTCAGGGAAAATCCTGAGGAGAGCGGGGTCTGTACATAGCCTATCATGGGAGCTACGAAAGAAAAAACCACCTTGATCGGAAAAGTTTGCTTCTCTTGTTTCTTTGATTTTTCTGTTAAAGCCAAAGCGATGATGTGGATTCATTGACTGATCAGATTTTGAAAGCGAAACATAATTCCTTCTTTTCACCTTCAGTGACCCTTTTTGACCTTTTCGAGGTAATCCTCTTTTAAATATTGGTCAAAATTTCTCAGAACTTCAGGAAGTCGTTTGATGTCTATATATTTACAGCACTGGCAGGGCTTTGGTCTTGCACAAGAACCACGACACTATTCAGAGTCCCCTATTTTTTCGTATGATCGTCAGAATCGAGAGCTACCAGTACCAGGATATTCGAAAGTTTTGCCCTACCGTCATTGAAAAATACTATTGGAACGATCTCCCCCTTTCTATTCGCAATAAATCATCGAAAATGCTGTTCAAAAAGGCACTTAAAAATATTATCTTGCTCAATATTGACTTGTGTGCGTGTGTGTGTGCGTGCGTGCGTGTTTGTGTTTTAATGAATAACAAAACTACAAAAGAATAAAGTCAATCTTGTTAAAGGGCCATGATTAGTTTTACTCAAGAGACTATAAAGGGGACAGAGAGGGCATCCCCCATATACACCCTATTCCATAGGTAATTCGTCTCGAGTTATTTTTAGAATCGGGATAAAGTTACCTCGCGCGAGGCGTGGAGGTTTCGTGGAGGTTTCGCATGACCAAACGCCGTGCAAAACATGTCGGGCGAGAGGCAATGAAAGCGTTAAAAGATCGAGAGCATTCCTGAATATTGAAGCGAAATGAGTCGGCGCTCACCTGGGAAAAAGGAATCGCTGGACTCTTTGACAACCCGTCAAATCAGTTCGACTCGAAGTTGTCGTAATCTCAGTGCTTTAATGAAATGAGAAATTTCGCCGGTCTATTGAAAC